AAGTAAAATGTACTATCAGAATGTACATTCCGCTATAAAGCTGGGATGTAGTGCTGCTGCTAGTAAAAGTGGGGTCCATTTCATTATACTGCCTAATTAAACTTTCCGGTGAGAATATTTTAAAATAATTATTTAATAATGACAAAAACCTGAGCAAATAACTTGCAAGTTAATATTTTCTTAAATTAATTAAACTATTATTTTTGGGAGACTGCAGCAGAAATATGATGCCTTGTGCACAGCGCATGTTCTAATTGGACTATATGGAATGAGACTCTATAAATTAAAGCATTTCTTCTGTGAATTTCAGGCCAGTGTGTACAGACATAGTAGAATGTTATAGTAGAATATGGTTTTGTTTTGGTGTTTAGGTAGAGCTACTGGAGCAAAACAGTGAGGATAGACAAAAAAGGTGTACCTCCTACTCAAATCTGTTTATCTGTTCACCCTGAATAATGTGTTCATATTTGGTTAGAATACATATATGGAAATTGGGCCTCTTTTTCTTTAAAGTTATGCTGAAGGTCCTTAAAATCTTCCTCTGAAATACACTGATCGGCCACAACATTAAAACCACTGACAGGTGAAGGGAATAACATTGATTATCTCTTTACAATGGCACCTGTCAAGGGGTGAAACATATTAGGCAGCAAGTGAACAATCAGTTCTTGAAGTTGATGTGTTGGAAGCAGAAAACTAGCATAAGGATCTGAGTGACTTTGACAAGGGCCAGATTGTGGCTATACGACTGGGTCAGAGCATCTCCAAAACAGCAGGTCTTGTGAGGTGTTTCCGGTATGCGGTGGTTAGTACCAAAAGTGGTCCAGGAAGGACAACCGGTCAACTGGCAACAGGGTCATGGGCACCCAAGGCTCACTAAAGAACACAGTGCATCACAGCTTGCTGTGTACGGGGCTGTGTAGCTGCAGACTGGTCAGAGTGCCCATGCTGACCCCTGTACACTGCTGAAAGCACCTACAATGGGCATGTGAGCATCAGAACTGACCATGGTGCAATGGAAGAAAGTGACTTTGTCTGATGAATCACGTTTTCTTTTACATCATGTGGATGGCCGGGTGCGTGTGTGTTGCTTACCTGGGGAAGATATGGCACCAGGATGCACTATGGGAAGAAGGCAAGCCGGCAGAGGCAGTGTGATGCTCTGGGCAATGTTCTGCTGGGAAACCTTGGGTCCTGGCATTCATGTGGATGTTACTTTGACACGTACCACCTACCTAAACATTGTTGCAGACCAAGTACAGCCCTTCGTGGCAATGATATTCCGTAATGGCAGTGACCTCTTTCAGCAGGATAATTCGCCCTGTCACACTGCAAAAATTGTTCAGGAATGGTTTGAGGAACATGACAAAGAGTTCAAGGTGTTGACTTGGCCTCCAAATTCCCCAGATCTCAATCCGATTGAGCATCTGTGGGATGTGCTGGACAAACAAGTCTGATCTATGGAGGCCCCACCTCACAACTTACAGACTTAAAGGATCTGCTGCTAACATCTTGGTGCCAGATACCACAGCACACCTTCAGAGGTCTTGTGGAGTCTCTGCTTCAACGGGTCAGAACTGTTTTGGCGGCACAAAGGGGACCTACGGGTTAGGCAGGTGGTTTTAATGTTATGGCTGATCAGTGTATGTAAAAATCGTAATTTTTCCAAGTATATAAGGAATGTAGATCAATTACAGGCCTGGTTCAACACAAAGTGGTTTAATTGATTGTCATTGTTGATTTACCATAATCCAATGCACATACTCTAAAAAGCCGTGTCTTCGCCATGTAGACATGTCTACAAACTGGGCAGAGAAGGGAACAAGCATCGTCATCATCATCATCACTTAATATACTACTGATTTTCAAACACATTCTTCCTCCCAACAGATTTTAGCTTTTCAGACTGCCTGCTTTAGTTTAAAAATTGGTCTGCCTCTATATATTAGAAATGTGCACCAGCCTGCACCACAGAATGCACTGTATATGTTAAGACAGGCATATCACTATCAAATTATTTCTCCCTCTCCCTAATCTAATAAGAGCTACTAATGTTCACCCACAGTGGTCAAAGAGTTTTCCCTAAATAGGGAGGACATTAGTGGCAGCAGCTGCTCATATATAGAGAACCTGTTCCCTATTTTCCACTAGTTTTGCTCAAGATCCCTCAACAACAGCTACATAGGGCTAAGAACTCATCAGCGCACTATGTGCACTGCTCAGTGTTTGTTTATGCTGAACTTAATTCTGGATATAAAGAGGACAGCGTGAATTGTATAAGATAACCCTCTATGGTACGCATTATGATACTATTGGGTAAAAAAATGTATGTACACTGTTTCTGCTTAAAATAGAATAATGGCAAACAAAGGATGATTTCATGCAAAAAAAACATAGATATCAACCTGCATAGCCAACAACTTTAACAAGCATATGGAACAATACATAAAAAGTGCATTGTATTACAAATGCATTGTTTAATCATCCTGCTCTTATCATGCCTGCCACTCTACCTTATTCTCCATCATCATCATCATCTTCCTCGTCCATTCTCCACTTTCTCTGTGTAGACTCGATACCGTTCCTGTACCTCCATCTTCACCCTTGTCATCATCATCCTCACTTTCTCCATATAAGGTGGCATCCATCTCATCATCTTCTTCATCACTAAATTATGTCTCATCCTCACTATCATCCACTGGGAGTGCTACCTCTGCTTCATACTTCACTGAAGTTGAGTATTTATCTGATACATCATAGAATAATCGAATAATTCTAACATAATCTTTGAAAAAGAATATGCGTATATATTCAGATCATTCTATGCTGTTTACAAATGCAATACCTATACACCCACCTATATGTACTTTACCGGCTAACATAGGTTAACGTATATGGTTAGTATTGGGGCCACACGTCTTGATGAAGAATGGAATCAGAAAATTGGTTGTTGCTTTTTGTTACAGCAGACAACAAATTTTGTTATGTTGCCTGGACACAACACAGTACCATAAAGGGATAAAGTTCAACAAAGCAAGAAATCTGCTTTTTCAAATTCAGCTGCCTGCTGTGTTAATTACAATTTGGTGAAATCTGATGTAACTAAGATATAAAGGAGTAAACAAATATTCCAGTACTAGTTCATAAAACACAAAGGTTTATTTGTTTCTTTAGTAAAATATATATATGTGCAATTCTCCTATATCTTACAGTAGCACGCTTACAGAAAATAGTAACTGTATATAAAAATAACGTGTACTGTACCACCATCTCCCCATGTCAGCATTTCTTTTTTTTCCTGACACTATGGTCTTTTTTCAATTCAAGTGAAAACTTATGCTGTCAGCAAGACTTTCTAGGAACACTGAGCGACATTTGTCCTCCAACGGGTGTTATGTCTATGTAGCAACATTAAATGTTCTTTTTCTCTTTCGTTATGTAAGACTGCCATACGTGATTCACCAATAGGCCACAAGGGTCATTAATTTTTTTTTTTTTTATTTAAAAGAGTGGGTGTGTTGCCTGGGAAGGTAAAAATTAAAATAGCAGTACATAATAGCAATCTCGCCCCTCTTCCCTCTCCCACGCTGATCAGCGAGGTAAACACATTCACACGCTTTGTTCATTTCATGTCATAAAAGTTTATGTTCACTATTTATAAGGCGCAGACTATCACACTGCCTATATACTGTGAGTCTGTAATAATCTTGAGCAGTAATTACTGAATGTATATGGTTGGTTTTATTCGATGTAATACCACAGTGCTTTTGAATTCTCGAATCTGATCGGTTTGAAGGTGTTGATTAAGTTTCTATAAGAGCGTGGCTCTAACAGTAGTTTGGCTGCTTGTTATAATACAGTATTTTATTGTTCGTATAGCAAGAATGAATTCCCAGGGACTTGTATGGAGAACGCTCCATAGGAAGGGCTTAAAAATGTGTGCAAGCTGCATCATCTTATTAACTTCAGGAGACAGAAACATAAGAGGTTGGTGAGGGGAAAAGTGTTTATAGCTGCTATACACTGTTCATAGCTGCTTTACGCTTTGAGAATGTAAGCTTTCTCAAAGTGGTGTCAGTGAAGCATAGTCGGGGGGGGGGGGGGGTCTGCAATCTTTGTTTTGTTTTGTTACACTGGTGGAAACCATAACTCAACATTATCAAGGTTATTATGTTTATTCTTGAGTTCAGAATGAAAAGCTGTATAGCTTAGTTTTATAGTTAAATTTGTCTCTGACTCCGCATGATCTTTTTTTTTTATATGCGATTTTATTTCAGGCAAGTAACAGCACAGCATGTGTCCCTGACTGGTTCAAAAGCTGTGAATGAATATCTGACAGGAACCAAAAAAATACGCTTACTGTTCTCGCCTATGATGCTTCTCATTACTTGAAATGAGCCTCCTTTCCTTTCTTTGCTTCCTTTTCTTGCTTCTCTGCTCCTCCCTCAGAGGAAGATAGGAGGGCAGGAGGAATCAAGGACAATGTATTTACCATTCATTGAAGCGTCATTTTAAAGCATCTTACTGATCACATGTTGCTCTGGTGTATTTATTATATTACGGATCTGCTTATACAGAAGAGTGATTTGGCCTACATGCTGTATTAATCTTAATTTTAAAATATATTTGCGTGTGTACATCACACACTTAAATGTTCATCAGCAAGATTCTACTCCTCATCTGATAGTTCATAAAGCAAGGCATCTTTTAATTGACTTTTATCCAAAGGACTGTTTATTTGTATATATCTGTTTATTTAATTAAGGATATTAATTTTGTATTTGTCATGCTTACTATTGTATGATTTATTGGAATTGGGTATTGAAAGGCGAATCATAAATACAATGAAAAAAAAAAGGCTACTCCTGTTCGGAGTCACCACAGCAGATCACTGGTCCGCATATTTGATTTGGCAGTTTTTATGCCAGATGCAACCGTTCCCAGTTTTATCCGGGCTTGGGATCAGCACTGAGAGCAGACTGTCATGTGGCTGGGGTCGGATCCCTGACTGGGAATCGAACCCGGGCCGCATTGGTGAGAGCACTGTAGTCTAATCACTAATCCGCCAGGCATCCTAGCAACTAGCAACATTATGGCATTTAATTTAAAACGCTAAGGGAGCCCAGTCAGCCCAGAGTTACTTCAATGCCACATCATGCTATCTGCACATAGCCACTGAGTCTCAAAACCTGCTACACTGCACTACATATGAAATAATAAGTTAGTTTAAAAAAAGTTACATTTAAATTTAAAGTAATGTAATTTGTCTAAATGAATGCCATAAGATGTGTGTTTGTAGTGTTCTTTTTTTATTCAGCAAAGGTGGCACAGCTTATAGAACTGCTGCTCACTGGTTTGAGCCTGAAATCACTGTCTGTTTGAAGATATACATGTTCTCCGCGTGTTCCTGTGGGCTTCCTCTGGGTTTCCCGATTTCCTCCCATGTCCCATAAACATGCTTATTAGTTGGATTGGCAACTCTAAATTGCTCAGGTTGTGAATGAGTGTGTGAATGTGTGTATGCATGTTGCTTGGTGAAGAACAGCTGTCCCATCCAGGATGCATTGCTTGTTTTCTGTGCTTTACCTGTGTATTAGGTAATAAATAATAATAATAATAATAAATCCTTGGACACAATAATGATCTCGGAGACTGTCTTTAGATGGAGACAGAGATTTTAGGTGAATTGAAAGTGAATGTTATGCTTTCAGGCAGGAGTTGCATGTGAAATTACCTGAAACTGTAAACTGTGTAGAAATGTTTTCAAATCGAGAATGCACCTATTATTATACATATTAAAAGATAGTGTCCCTTGAGGACTAGTGGTTAGGCCACGTTGCTCTTAGCTCTGTGGCCTGGGTTTGATTCCCGCCCAGGGCAGGGAATCGACAGTCCGCTCTCAATGCCGGTCCCAAGCCCAGATAAAATTGGGGAAAGTTGCATCTGGCATAAACACTGTGCCTAATCAAATACACAGACCAATGATCTGCAGCCAAAAGAGGAACCACAACATACTTATTAAAAGATAATTGTGACCTCAAGGTGATATTTATTTTTATTTATGTTTTCAGTCCCTTTTAACTTCGTAATTTTAACGTTTAATTAATGCAAATGGAAAGAACAGTGTGCCTGTGAAGCTGCTTTGCATTTGTTGATTAAATAATTCTGTAAATAAATTTCCTACTGAACCCTTTATTGAGTCTATATTGCATTATTTGTGGCAGTCAACTTCCACAAAATGTTTAAATTCTCACACATATAATTATAATTTTGTGCTGTACTTGTGGTTGATTAATTTAATCAATGTATTAATTTAATTGAATGAAATATTAATCATTTTCTTTGCAAATTAATCAAATGTCAAGTATAGGCTACTTCCAATTCTTTGTTATGTGGAAAGAGTCGGCTTGTATTGGTATAACCAAGCAGAATAACTGACTTGCTGAAAAAATCTGGAATTCCCTACTATTCCATGGCCCGGTTATGGCCTGTTTCTTTTGGGCCAGACTCAGGATTCGAAACCAGAGCTGGTTAAAACGAAATAAATACTGACGTGCAGTTTGTGGCCTGGATATGTTTTTTGACAAGTTTTTGGGCCAAGCTTGGGCCTACATTAAAAAAAAGAGCTGTCGCACTTCACCATTTGTCCCTAGTGATTTTTTTATCGGATTGATAGGTATTGATAGGTAGTAATTGTGTTAAAAGTGAATAAACAAGATTTATAAGGTTTATCAGTTTTACCTGCAATCAGAATAATTGTAGGATTGGAAACAATCTAATTGCTGATTGCCTGATTGCTAGTACTAATAGGTCAACCCAGTCTCACAGAAAAAACATTCGCATGCAACTTATCTGCAGTATCTGCTATATGCTGAATATCTGTTCTGGCACAAGTATACGTCACACAGGAATCTATCGAACCTTCATTTGAATGCTCTGTATTAGAGGTTCTGCACCAGTGTATTTCAACCAAGCCCCCATCCACCACTACTCTATTTAAATAAGATCGACATGTAATAAAACATTTTACCTGTTTTTTTTAAAAACTTTTTTACACTGAGCATAGCCCACTAAAGTGCTTTTCACAACATATAATTAGAGTGATGGAGCTTATCATGAAATAAGCTTCTCTTCTCTGCAAGCACAATCAGGCTTGCAAGTCATATGGTAACACAGGTGTTTTCAAAACACAGAAAGTCTCTGTATTCTCAGTAGCCTAAAGAATTTACAGGGTAAAACTATTGGCGTTTTGAAGATACCCAGGTCACCATACCACGTGACTTACAAGCCCGGTTGTGTTTGCAGAGAAGAAGCCTTGTAAGTCTAATATATGAAAGTTTGATACGTTACTGTGCATGGTGTGCTTGTGCCAGAATGCTGATGAGAAGGTGCTGCCGATAAGCTGCATAAAAACTTTTTTTTTTCTTTGAGACTGGGTTGAACGGGTAAGCTAGCAGCATGATGATTGTTCCCACTCTTCTGAACTTTTGCACTGATGTTAGCTAATATAGAGGAAAAATCTATTATTTATTTTCACACTGACCTGGCAGCCAGCTAAACCTCGTCATACCAAAATGACTCTCTGAGCCACAATCACACTGAGGCACATGTTGGCTTCTTTTAAGCTTGACTCATGTCCAAATATCCTGTCTGCATCCTTATCTTTATGTTTTATGAAACGCTAAACAAATAAAACCAACATTTTTCACTTCTACCAAGCATGTCAAGTCCTTTATGCTCCAACACGTTATCACAGTCTTTTATTTTTGAAGTAAGTACATTACATGCGATCTGAGTTCAGCTTCTTCCCTTTAATGGTGTTTTCAAGCACAAACCAGACTTTAAAATGTGACTGTAGGGATATTATCTCAAAAAGGCCAGCCAATTGCCTCAGCGGTCCAGCTCTAACTGACAATGCACCTCCCCTCCGTCTTCACTTTCCAGACTAGCAAATAGAGCCGCTGTCTTTGATATAGCATTCAAGCCACAGAATCTTGTTCATTAAAACACTCCGGCAGAGTCATCTGAAATATATGGTTGTAATGGAATCAATTTCCAGTGCAGGGGCAGGCACTGACCTCATCCACTTCCGAAGGCAGTTCGGCCTGGGCCCGCAGAGAGAGCTACAGAAGGAGAGATGGTCATGATTGATTAGGAATGGCGTGTAATAAAATTCCCCGGGGCAAAGGAGCAGACCAGCGCAAGACCAATAATTACAATCCAGATAATGTTGGTAATTACAGCCATGTACAGAGTGGGACAGTGGACAGATGAAGCCATTCCTGTATTTGCATGCCTGTTGTGACTAGCCAACACTCAGTATGCTCTCAATGCTCAACACTATCATTGGGCCTCATTTATCAAGCCTGGATATGAACAAATTTATCGGTATAACATTTGTAGGAGCATTTACACAAGAAATTTGCTATTCAAGAAAAATGTTCAGATAAATGTTTGAAAAATGTTTCTTGATGTGTGTGCTTGGTGTCTGTGATCATTTGCATTTGTTTCATGTCAAACCATTTTCACACCTAATTCACTTTTTCCTGTCATTAGTCTCCAGATTTGAGCTTTTTCAGGTGCTGTAACACTACTAAATAATATAATTTAGACATCAATGAGTCAAATATCTTCCACTTCTGCCTCTGAGAAATTTATTTTCTCTCAGTGCTTAATCATAAATTTGCTCAGCTGTCTGTAAGCTTTACTTTTTATGGAGTTTGTGGGCATCACTAAATGCAAATGAGCTGTAGCATGAAGTGAGAATCCAAGTTACCGAAACTTTTGCAAATCTGGAGATTTTTAGTTCAGTGTGGCCTACAAAAAAAAAATCCACACACAACTTTACTAAAAAAGTTGAAAAACAAGGCCCCTTTTTTTTTTTTATCCTAAACATCATTTCATAAAGATCATTTATCTTTATCATTATCCCCAACATCAGTGAATCTGCAATTTTTCAGCCGTTCACAACATCCTCACAGCACGCTAGACTCCAAATCAATGCACCACACCATTAAAGCAGAACTGAAAGACCAAAAATGGAACAGATGGATGTAAATTTGGTGGGAGAAACATATGCATCAAAAACTCCATTGTGTGAATTCTTTAGTATCTTTGCAGGAATATAACAGAATAAAAAAAATGGGTCTTAATGTAGTGGTAGAACATTCATTTGTAATCTACAGGTCTGTCTTTTGAGCAGTGTGTAAAAAAACCTCTTTAATCTTATTCAGAGCAGAACATCTGGCTTGGCCCAATGCTAATCCCACATCCACAGAAAAACTCTATGTAATCAGTTGCACACACAAAGGCCAGCTTGCCCAAGAGCCAGGACATTCATAAATCCTCTGACTAACCCTGACCCGCACACACCAACATAAAGATCTTTGTGAAATGACTCCACCAGTACCTAGCACAAAACGAGAGCATGTGTTACCTCATACATTCTGCAGTAATAGTGAGAAAGACTGGTATACAGAGAGAGAAAAGACAAGACTGAGAAAGTACTAGACAGAAAGAACAAAACAAAGGGAGATCGACCGACAGAGGTCTCGAAAAACAGCAAGGTCACACAGGCATAGAAGAAACAAAAAGCCCCTCTATGCCATGATGTTCACTGCTCTCCACTCAGACACAATAGAGCACACAGAGTTTTGAGTATGCACAAAGCCAGAATGGTGTCAATACATATACAACAATCAGCATCTTCAGCATGTCATATTTTTAATCATATATGAACAAAACAAATGTGGCAAAGTAAATAAGTATTTTATGTGTATAATGTATGAACTGTCAAAACAGGCATGACTCTAAAGTTTAATCTCATGCTGCAATGCGAAGCACCTAAATGAAACATAATAAAAACAAAACATCTGTTCTCATAAGCATAATCCATTATAACGAAAGAGATATTGGCCCTGTATAAAGTGAGTGATTTAAAGCGACAGGAAGGACATGAAGACGGAATTGTATTCGACATAGCTGGCATGGCACCTGCTGGCGTTTAAATGACTGATATTTCTTTTCCAGTCAGGCGTGCTGAATGATGACTGTGAAACGGGTCGTTTGTCTT